CGTTCACCCAAAATGTTCATGCACTGTGAACTAGGCAGAAGGAGACGGTCAAATTTATGGAACATTACTGGTGCCACATTGTGACCTCGTAGCTCCTCTAATTTTGATTTTAAGTATAAGAAGAGCAAAGTTATTTGGTTATCTAAACTGTATTTCCCCCCGGCAAAAGTAAACTTTTTTGTAAGGATTTCTGATTTAAAAAGGCGGTTTAACTTCCTCGCAGTATGCAAGGTAGTAAGGCAAGGAAAGTTAATTGCTATTGCGTATTCTCTGCGTACATATTGAAACCAGTTCTCCGTGGGCAGTATTTGTAAACAAGAATAGATGCATCAGTATTATCATGAGGATAAATCATTTATTTTAATAATTTGATAATTCACAGAATACTTTTCTATGACCAGAATATTTTATAGATTTTTTGTGAACATGGATCCCATGTCAGGCTGTGACATTCTTCTTGTGTTTACTTTACAGCCCAGAGACAGTCCTAAACCTCTGAAATAACTATCTTTACATTATAATTCTTTGGCAGGATGATTTATTTTTCAATAAGGAAATTCCCATGCAGTACACGATATACTACATGATGTCATGATGTACGTTGCATAACATTCCTAATAATCAAAGAAAAAGTTCAGCTCTGTAAGGCAGTAGGGTCATTTGACAGTACATCGTGAGCGTACTGTCAAATGACCCTACTGCTCAACTTTTCCTTCCTTCAACACGAAGAATTATAATGTAAACATAGTTTTTTCAGAGGTGTACGCATTTTTAGTACTGCAGTGTACTGTCTCTGGGCGGTAATGTAAACACAAGACGGATGTCACAACTCACAGCCTGACATAGGATCCATCTTCCACATAAAAAATCAATGAAATATTCTGGTCATAAGAAACTATTAAGTGAATATCAAAATTATCCAAATTGCTTTTATCCTCCTCGGATAGTAGAGCAACACTGACTTGTTTACAAACACAATCCAGAGGGAACTGGTTTCAATTATGTACGCAGAGAATACGCAACAGCAATTAACGGTCCTTGCCTTTTTACCTTGCTTCAATGGAATGTTTTACAACGTACTTCGTACTGCATAGTTTGCAGTAGTTACACAGAGGAAATGTAACATTTAAGCTGCATTACTGTTACGATTTGCCAGCTAGCAAGGGAACATATATATTACAAAGTACAAATACACTCATATACATACTTAAATGCATATACAATGGAACCCATAAAACTATGAAATAGAAAAACGAAATTTAATCAAATTTTCAAGTATTTGGTGCTGTAATAAACAAATATTTTTTTTCATTCGCTTAAAATCAACTTGTCAAGTGAAATGGTCATATCGTGTTTATTAGACATACTTGAGTCTAACAGTCGTCTTCCTATTCCTCAGTTTTAGGAGTCCCGATGTTTAGAATATTTTATGAGTCCCACTGTTTAGAATATTTTATGAGTCCCACTGTTTAAAATAATTTATGAGTCCCGATGTTTAGAATATTTTATGAGTCCCACTGTTTAGAATATTTAATAAGTCCCACTGTTTAGAATATTTTATGAGTCCCACTGTTTAGAATATTTTATGAGTCCCACTGTTTAAAATATTTTATGAGTCCCACTGTTTAAAATATTTTTTGAATGGTGAATATATGTAAAAGTTGTGGTCAGTGCTAAACGGGTAAAAATGTTTAGAAAATATTTCATAAACAGTAAACCTAGAAATTATTTGACACCTTCAGTCTGCAGCAGAATGTTTAGATTATGATCTTTACACAGGGGTAGTAACGTTTTTTTAACAACAGGGTGACAGGAAAGGAAAATTTACCACTTTTGCATCTCCTCTTTTTAATATTATAACTTTTTTTTACTTGTGGGCAACAAGGTGTAAGTTTTAAAAGGTGTAAAATTTTATCAAATCAACTCTGTTCACTGAAAAAACTATTTGCCACCCTGTCCTGTCTTTACACTGGGAGTATATAACCATTGCAGAATACCATACTAGGCAATTTAGTGTTGTCTTTTTATGGATGATGTACATTGTAAATAGTGGAAGGGTGTTAGAATTTGAGGGTTGCAAGACAGTACTTTTTGTAACTTTAAGAACCCCTAAAAAATGGGGCTATTGTCTTTTGTGTGGGACCTCACGTGGCTCCGGGGAAGGTTTATGAATGATAAAAATTTAAAAAATGAGTTTTAAAGGTTTTTAATTTTGTAAAAAAAATTAAATTCTTGAAAATCCGCGAATTTGTTTCTAAAAATCCTCAAAAAAATTTTCTTCTTTGTTTTAAAATGTAAGCAAAAAGAACATGTTCACAAATTAAATAGAAGATGGGCGCGAAGCGCTCTAAAAGCCTAGTCTTTTAGCTTGTCTGTTTGTTTGTTTGTGTCCAATAAACGTCAAAACGGCTGAACCGATCAGGCCCAAATTTGTGTGGGACCTCACGTGGTTCCCAGGGAAGGTTTATGAATAGTCAAAATTTCAAATATTTGGCTCAAAATTCGATTTTCATTTAATTTTTGAAAATTTGAAAATACACGAAATTTTTTGTTAAAATCTGCGAACTTTTTTTGATTTGTTTTACGATGTACACAAAGAGAAATAACTGAAATAGAAGATGGGCGCCCTAAAATGCTAGCATTATACATTTTTTAATATCCCTGCATACCTTTGAAGACCTTTTAAAATATTGGATTCGATGCATAAATTAAAAGCTGTTCAGCCAAAACTTTTGTATTGTAAATCTCAGGATCAATTATTTTGATCTACATCTACAGCAGATGAACGGAATAATAAAATAATAAATAAATATTCTTAAGTCTAAAAGTGTTTCCATTGGATATCTAGTTTAACGATACTTTACAGATAAGTTCCGACGCGACCTCAGACACCTTTTTAAATAAATAGTTCCGATGAAAAATTCAAAATATTTTTTCATCAGTAAACAAAGTATTAAGACTAGAATAATTCCGAAGTTTTCTGCATCCCACTGTGCAATGATTGTAATATAAATATCAAACACAAATTTTCAAATAAACACAAATTAACAAATTTAACTTATCTTTAAAATATACAAAATGAAGTAATTTTGTAAAATTGACATCTCACGTACCTTGACTTTAATCACCTAAATACTTCAATTGAACAATTATCCAGCTTTAATGATGTATATCTATCTATTGTATTAACATGTTCGCTCGTTAAATGGTTGGTTTAAAGGGAATGTTCGCTCAACTATACAACTATACACCTATATGTACAGCAAAAAACGTATCTATTTCTATGATAAATATAACCCAGCGGGATATTGAATAAAAAACTGATAAATATCAGAATATATTCTGATATTTATCCTTGAATATTGAGTTACTATGATATCTATATTAGGATATGAATATATACAGTAGACCGTATACATTTTAAAAACATGATATATGCTTCTTTAAAATGTGTATTTGTACTGACATTTGTAAATGTGTATTACTATTAAGAATCTAAGATTATCAAAAAATAATAAATTGTCGTGCGTTAAATTTCACCTTCAATATTTTTAAGACACTCTTAGTGCACTTATATTCTATATAAGAGATACTTTAAACCTTTATGTGACTAAGCACTAAGCAGTAAGCAGTAAGCATATCAGACAAACAAGAATAACAATAATCAATTATTAACAGATACATAAACATACAAAGTAAAAAGAAAGAAACAAAAAGCAGTTATGTGTTTGTTGTCTATTCTGAACCAGTAGAAATAGTAGGGTAACATCTATCTTTCTATCTGTCTCATTATCCAATTATAGTTATGAATCCTTGCATCGGCGCTATCAGTAAATGTAAATATTTATTTCTACTAAAACTATAGTGATTAAATGGTAGTAATGCGGAGTATTTGAAAATAAAGGAAATAAAACTAGAAAAAGAAAGAAAAATAAAGACATATAAAAGATAAAAGATGAAAAATAAAAGAGAAGACATAAGAAGGAGATGAAAAAGGGAAAAGCTGGAAAAAGAAAGATTTGATAAAGAAAAGAGATGAAAGTTAATACAATAATACTCTCTAAATAATATCCAACGCTCATCGAATCTTACAGTTTAATAGTGCCATAAAATCAGCTTGATGTAATTCCAGGTGTTGCCCCCCCCCCCCACTCCAGGACCCCCCTTTTCCTTGGGGGTCCTTGATAATTAGATAGATTAGTTAGGTTTGCTTTGTATAGGCCTTGATAGATTACTGTATTTACTTCAGGCTTATATATTTCAGTTTAACAATTTATCAATAAATATTTGTCAAACCAAATCAGATATCACACTTTTACAGTGGTACTCACAAAATTAAATCAAGCATAAGCTGTTTTTAACGTTGTTATAAAGTGAATACTGAATAGTTTTATTCACATTAAACTAAAGTAAATAGCACAAAAAATTGAAATCTTAAATGTTTTCAATCATAACTCCTCGTTTTGAAGAGCTATGGAGATTAACAAAAATGATTTGAATTTCTAATATGTAACCGAATACTTGTGCATATAATCAAAACTAGAGGAGCTACGAGATCGCATAGTAGTAGAAGTATTGGCGCATGAATTTGACCTTCTCTTTCTCTTTAGTTCACAGGAGGGGAGGAAGGCCAACCACATCAATTTCTAGTCCGAACCACATTCTCCTCATTTTCTCGACCACCTCGAAATTCTCGTCCTTTCAATAGTATTTTTCTTAAGTGTCTAATCCTTCCAGATAAAACTATTCTTAAAGAATCGGGCCACGTTATGGCATAAATGAAATATCTAATTTTTGTTAATCGAAAAAAAAGTTTCAATTGAATTAAAGATTTCAAGTTTAATTCTAGAACTAGAACTAGAACTAGAACTAGAACTAGAACTAGAACTAGAACTAGAACTAGAACTAGAACTAGAACTAGAGCTAAAACTAGAACTAGAACTAGAAATAGAACTAGAACTAGAACTAGAACTAGAACAGTAAATAGAAAAGGAAAAAAGTTAGGCTAAATTGTTTATTTAAAAAAATTTGAAATCCAAAATGATTGAATAAAAAGTTTTTGTCATTGAATTAAAAGTTGTTCTCCTTGTTAAGGAAATACATGCTCGGAATGTTTCGTAATATCACAACAGCATTCATGAGAAACAGAAATATCACAAGAAATAACAAGGCAAAGACAATCAGCACCATCTCCTTCTACTCTTTCCAGGGGTAGACGGTCAAATGTAGTCATTTCCTTGCTTGGAAGTTCAATTAGTAGAAATCCCACTAAAGAAAACAATAAATTAAGACTATTTTTAGAGGAAAATTGTCTTTTGTTTGTTAATAACTATTTATAACAGTGGTTTAAGTGTTATAAAGTTTTTGGACAGAAATTTTTAGATTTAATTTTGTCCCGAGCTTTATATTATAATCTAAAAAACGTGAACCTTCGAGATATAGAAAAAATTTAAGTTCAAAAACTGTATAGCACGTCGTGCCAAAATAATAGTGTTATAGGTAATTTAATAAAATGTCTGTCTACTTGTCTTATTTCAATGGCTATTTCAAGATAAAATGAGCTTTGAAAAAAGCAGAAGTTAAAATATAAAGTTGATTTCAATTTTATTTTCATTTCAATCAAAAAAAATATTTTGGAAATATCCTAATTTTTTTGGAGAAAATCCGTGAACCAATCAAAACTTTATAGCACACGTGCTAAAATGTACACCTAATTTAACTTTACACGCACCTCGTGCCCCTTTAGTAAAAGTAAATTCAACCTATATGAAGCATAAAATCTGACCGCGTCAACCTTGTTGCCCGTGTTTATAGCCACGATGATTACTTTATAGCACGTTCATTATGAAATTCACAATGTAGTGAGGAAGAATTATAAAGTATACAGACAATAGTTTCATAAAAAGGTTTAATAACCTAACTGTTGAAAACTTAACCTTCTTGTTTTTCCTCGGAGAAAAGAGCAATGCACATTCCCAGCAGCTGTAGAATGATGATTGTCTAAAAAGTAAAATTTTGTATTATTTTCGTTTTGTCTAACACTTCCTAAGGATTTGTCATTAATGAAGCTTGCTAATAAATTAAAATGAGTTGACCTTGAGCGTATCAAAATTATTTCGATTTACCTGAACAATAACAACAATGATTGATAAAACATTCTGCTTTTTCAACTTTTGCAAGATCAAGTATATCGGAGAGGAGGGACTTATCAATTTATCCATTTCAAACATTTTAAAAAAATTTCTGGTGTAAACTGTTTCGCAGATTTTCAGGTTGAGTTTTGCGACTTTTGTATAATCAAGTTTTTCTTAGAATTTTTGATTTGTTCAAAAGTTCTTGAATTTCATACATTTTAATGACGAGACTTTTATAAACATTGATATTTTGATTATCAAAGAAAATTTTACATAAATTAGCAATATCTTACTTATAATTCCCTATACTTTATGGCATAGAAAGTTTTTTTGTGACAGCAAACTATAAAAAGAATATCTTCACATTATATATCTATATAATAAAACAAGACATTTGTATTTATGTTCCCTATAGCGTGCCAAACGGCTGGACCGAATGGTAACCCAGGGGTATCCCGGGGGTAACGAAGGCTAAAAAAGTTTTAATTTTTTCCACTGGCAACGCCGGGCACTTCAGCTAGTTATTAATAAATAATATGTTGGTCATATAAAAATATTTTAAACTGTCTGATTCGTCTGATTTTCAAAACTTAATGTTTTAAATATTCAACGGCGACATCAGGTCACAAGAATATAAGGAATAGATATTTAACTACAGTGATAATTCGAAAATTCTGGAATAAGAAGACGACTTTTGGAATCAAGTTATAATTATAACTTTTGAAAGTTCAAAGAAAATGAGACACATCAATTGTGCAATGTAAACAGACCCATTTCACTTAATTAATGATTTTATAAGAAGTGTCTAGTTACACAACTTTGTATTGCCATAATGTCGTCTTCCTATTCTATTGTTTTCTGTTCATCACTGTATGAGGAGAGTAATAGAGTAATCAGTTTATATTGTGTCGGATACCCGTCTTATAATCCCGTTCCTTTGTGTCGGATACCCGTCTTATAATCGCGTTCCTTTGTGTCGGATACCCGTCTTATAATCCCGTTCCTTTGTGTCGGATACCCGTCTTATAATCGCGTTCCTTTGTGTCGGATACCCGTCTCATAATCCCGTTCCTTTGTGTCGGATACCTGTCTCATAATCCCGTTCCTTTGTGTTGGATACCCGTCTTATAATCCCGTTCCTTTGTGTCGGATACCTGTCTCATAATCCCGTTCCTTTGTGTCGGATACCCGTCTCATAATCCCGTTCCTTTGTGTTGGATACCCGTCTTATAATCCCGTTCCTTTGTGTTGGATACCCGTCTTATAATCCCGTTCCTTTGTGTCGGATACCCGCCTCATAATCCCGTTCCTTTGTGTTGGATACCCGTCTTATAATCCCGATCCTTTGTGTCGGATTCCCGTCTTATAATCCCGTTCGCTTTATCTCAATATCCCTAGTGTGCACTTTTGAATTTTTACGGAGAATTCGATCCCTTGATTTCGGAAATCCCTACATTCTCTGTTTTCTTATTGGTTGAACACAAATTTCCATGGTTTCTGGTTTTTTTCTGTTTACTACACACGGGATAGCGCAGAAAGATTAAATTAATTTGTATTTTGTAGTTTGAACAAAGATCGAAATCAAGCATTTATATCGATATCCAGTATCCACAGTAAAAGAGTTTAAATCGCTGTACATCATTTCTTTATACAAGTATATTGTATTTTGTTGAGTTTTAGTAGAAATATATCCTTCAGTCAAGTTTAATATCTCACAATGATTTCCCATTCTCATTGCTACATGATTCCCCCCTCTCTTTCCTCAATCATCTCCCCCTTTCCTTGTTCCATGATTCGCTGATTCCGAAGGTTAACAAATAATCCGTGGATTTTTTAAATTGGCATGTTCACAGTTCAAGTTTTCCTAATCATATATTATTTACTTAGTAATTTCTTGTTCTTCGTTCCTCGTTCCTTGTTCCCTGTTCCTTGTTACTTGTTTCTTGTTCCTTGTTCCTTTTTACTTGTTCCTTGTTCCTTTGTTACTTTGTTCCTTTGTTCCATGTTCCTTGGTCCTTGTTCCTTGTTTCTTGTTTCTTGTTTCTTGTTTCTTGTTTCTTGTTCCTTGTTCCTTTGTTACTTTGTTCCTTTGTTCCATGTTCCTTGGTCCTTGTTCCTTGTTTCTTGTTTCTTGTTTCTTGTTCCTTGTTTCTTGTTCCTTGTTCCTTTGTTACTTTGTTACTTTGTTCCATGTTCCTTGGTCCTTGTTCCTTGTTTCTTGTTTCTTGTTTNCCCCCCCCTTCCTCTCTCTCTCACTAACCCCCCGTATACATACATGCATCCCTCCCCTCCCTTCCATCAGTATGCATACATCCTACTACACACATCCCTCCCTCCCCACCAGTATACATACATCCCTCCCCTCCCTTCCCCACCAGTATACATATACATCCTTCAACACACATCCCTCCCTCTTTCCACCTGCTTTCTATTATCAATCCCTCACTCAATCTTTCGTATATTATTTATTCTTCCTTCCCCTCCCTTCCATTATAACTCGGCCTCTTTTTCTTCCTGTTTTTTATCCTAGTTTTCACATTTCCTGATTGTTAAAGGATCGCTTGCTGGGAACTGGGAATTCTTATAATTTGTACAGTTTAAACGGATTGTCATTTTTCAACTTAATTTGAAACAATCCTGACAATTGAAGAATTCCATCAACAATTCACAACGTTACCCTTGAAACCTTAATTTATATAGACAAGTTTTTAAATCAAAGCAAAAATGATCAAACTATGAGTGTTAACTAAACAATTTAACCCCAAATTAAGAGTTACACGCCAGATTGACAACGGTATCCAACAGAAGGTGAGAAATAGTTGTTTTTATGTTTTTTTTCCAAAGATTTTATTAGTCGGACAACTTCTTTTGATACAACTTTGTGACATATTGCCTATCAAGAATCACAGCAGATTTTTTAAACGCTTCTCTCGATTTTCCTGCTCTGTCGGACACCTAGTTTGTTTGTTTATTTTTCAATTGGTGTGCTTTGCAATTGCAAAAGAATTGAGTCTTTTTGAAAAACTTAAATTTTATTAATCCCTGTATCATTTCAATCCAACCTGATGGTGTAAACTTGGATTATTTGGTCTTACAGAATTCATAGTTTGAAATGTCGAAGGTCTACGACATTGGGTTGCAAAGATAGGGTTTGTAAATCTGAGTTTGTGGCAAAACCCATGTTTTATCAAGGGCGAATGCGATATCTTCATTTTTCTGACATGAAATTGAATAGTTTGAGAAAAAAAAATTTCCGCATAAATAATAAATAATGAAATCATGAAATATCTATATATAATTTGGCTTGTCTGTCTGTTTGGGTGTTTGGGTGTCTGTTTGTTTGTTTGTATCCAATAAACGTCAAAACGGCTGAACCGATCGGGCCCAAATTTTTTGTGGAACATCACGTGACCACAGGGAAGGTTTATGAATGATAAAAATTTTTAAAAAATGTGTTTTAAAGGTTTTTAATTTTGTAAAAAAAATTTAATTCTTGAATATCCGCGAATTTTTTTTTTTAAATCCGCTAAATTTTTTTTCTTATTTGTTTTAAAATGTAAACAAAAAGAACATGTTCACAATTTGAATTGAAGCCTAGTATTAATAAAATTCAACAATTTTTAGATATATTCCTCCTAGAGAGGTTTAAAGGGTACCTGTGAGTATCTAACATGCCATCTCGTCACCAAGAACTACGTGTACAGTCCCTTTAAGCAAATCATTGCATGCTTTCTCTTAAACACATGATGTTTTCTTTAAACAGTAGTATATGGTTTTCTTTAAATGTTTTATGATCGACTTCCGGTAATTTGTTTCTACTCACACCCCCCTACTCCCTCAACTCCCCCTCTTTCTTTATGTTCTTGGCATTAAAGTTAGTTATTTAGTTATTTAGCCAGACAAGGGTGGGTACCCCATGACAAGTATTATATAATATAGAATTTTTATTCGAATTTATAAAAAAGTATTTTTTTTACTCTCCCTGTATCACGTTTAAGAATGATATGTCACTCACTTAACTTTTTATTAAGGGATGTCTGGTGACATTTTTACAGTTACATATTGTTTAGAAACCGGAGTATAAGTGTCACTTGAATTTTAACACATCCTGCAAGAAGAGAAGGAATAGTGGGGGGGGGGGTTGAAGAAGGGGATATTGGGTTGAGATTAACAAGACCCCCCCCCCCCCCTCATACAGCTATATTTTTCTATTCTTTTTAATTCAATAGGTTTTAATATATAAATTTGGAAAGTTCTACGCGCTATGGAGAGGTATCGTTTCATGGTTCATAAATTGTATAATTTGATGAAAATCAGTCAATTAATAATTCTTATTAAACATTTACGCAACCGTGAATGATTTACATACAGGGTTGTTCAAACATGTTAAAACAAATCCAATATTCTAAAGGAGAAAAGAAAACATATTATGAGTTTATTTAATCCCATTCCGATATAACTATCGGTCTGACTTTTCTAACTAAGCTGGGTCTTATAATACTAACTCCTTAAGTCCTCAGCCATAATGCCCGTTTGGCTTGTTTTACTTACAACAGACTAAATCTACAATCAGACCCACTTCCAGTCATTGGATTTCAACATTTTATAGCTTTTTAGAAAGCCTTTGGCGCAGAAGGAAGTAGATTTTACAAGATTTGAAAAGTAATTTTGCACAATCTGTAAATATATTTGTTTAATCTAGAAAAGTTTTAAACAAAGACGACTTTCAATCCACCATAAAATAGTTATGATTCTTGAAGAGAAATCTTTATTCTTTAAATCGATTGGTTCTCATCAATTTGTAATTATCTGATCATGCAGATGTGTGGGAGTTTAATAGGAGGATAAGGAAATGCACATGGGGGGTGGGGTAGAGATGGGCATTGTTTTTTTAACGAACATTCAGAAAAAACGAACGATGGACGAACGAATTGAATAGTTCAGAGAAATGAAAAAAATCAAACGAAAAAAAACTTGAAAAAAACGGTGTTACTTTGTTAAACTAGCGATTTTTTTAAAAAACTTTTTTAAAACAATAGTTTTTTACTGAATTAATGATTTTTCAAACAAAATTTTTTTTTGAACGATTGAAAAAATACGAACTAAATGAGAAGGAGTGGAACTGGAGAGGGGTCAAGAGAAGGAGGGGTACAGGAACGGGGTCAAAAGAGATGGGGTTGCAGGAGTGGGCCAAAAGAGGGGGATGGAAGGTGCAAGAAAGGGGTCAAGATATGACGGGGAGGGTGCAAGAAAGGGGTCAAGAGATGAGGGGGGGGGGTTATCATCATTCATCTTTGCGTATACTCCCTTAAGTTAAACCCTAGAGAATATTTTACAAGATTTTCTCATGAATCTCTCTCATGATATTGGATTGGGGGCGGGCAGTATTGGTTTGGCGAGGGGGCGGGGCAGTATTGGTCAAGGGAGGAGCGGGAACCTACCATATGATAAGGGGGGTGGTTACTAGATAAGATGGTTCAGACGCAAAGAGTTACAAAATTAATGAATACAAAAGAAATTCTTTGTAAATTTTTTATCGATTTAACGGTGAACCCAAAAACTTTTCCTCGAAAAGATAATTAGCTAAGTATATAATATATATACAGGGTTACCCACAAAGATTGAGACTAATAGATAACTAAATATTATTTATACCGAAATTAATTATTTCTTAATAGTCAAATCATTAAAGAACCCATATAGCTTAACAGCAAGTTAATGTTTGATTCTCACCTCTGATGGTAGGTTGAGATCAAATCTTGATAATTTTCGCTTTAAGACCGGATCATTTTATGATCATGAAAATGCATGACACTAGTCTGAGATTATTGTATTACAAAGCAAGGTCAAAAAACCTAAAATATAAAAGTATTAGATCATTGACATTACAATATTTTTTATCTCCTGTAGCTAAGTTTGTAGAAAGTACTCCTGCTCCTGTTAGCTACTCCTGTAGCTTGGGTCTACTCCCGTAGTTGACAGCAGAGGACAGGGTAACCCTTAGGCTATTAATCCTGACCTCCGCTTGCTCATAGTTTATACTTAATGGTGAGAAACCATCTGAAAATATTCAGATTTAAAGAAAGAGGGAATTTTTAAGAACTTCAATATTTTGCACATAATGTAATCACAAAGTTTATCGCCAGGAAAGTTTCTTTTATTAGTCTCACTTCTCCGTTTAAGTCTCCTAGAATGGAGATTTTATTAATTGAGTTTCTTTTAGTTCTTAAATGTAACAGTTAATAAGTCAAATAGATTGTCAAGTACAGTAGCTTACTTACTTTGAATATCAATCTTATAGATATATAAAGGAAGGATCGAGAGCATATGCACATATGAACATATGAACATATTTGAACATTAGTTAGCCTTGAAATAACACTTTGTAATAAGAAAAGTTTAAAGTTTACATGTTCAAGATGTTAAATGTAGAAGATATAAACTAAAATGTTTTCTAAACATTTTGTAATAATTATATACTTTTTTGTTTGTTGGGTGAGAGTGTACAAATTCTACGTTGCCATCTATTGTACTAGACTCTATTTGAATAAGTCATTTAAAAAGTAAAACCGGTCTGTGTGTACAGCGTACATAGCACACTTACTGTCAAAGAGAATAGAATATATATTACAGTGGAATTTACTAGAAAAAGGTGTACAACGGCCATTTTGTTTTACTGTTTCCATACTGCAGGTGTATACTTCACATATTTGTGCTATATAACCTTTTGGGCCCTGGAATATCATTTTATATAAAATCTAAAATCAACATTAAAAGAAAATCAAATTATGAAATAGGCTGGTTTCATAATTGACCAATGATCATTTCACATAGACTCTATGCCTTTCACTTTACAACCGATGATTTTCCGTTATAACTGTAAATCAAATGATGTTTTTAATTACCTAATTCATTTTATAAAGTTTATTTAACAGCTTTAAAAAATTCGAAATTGAAATGGATAGTCTAGTGCAGTTTAGAGTGTGCAGTTCAGAGTGTGCAGTTTAGAGTGTGCAGTTTAGAGTGTGCAGTTTAGAGTGTGCAGTTAAAAAAGTATTTTTTTTANTTAGTGTGTACAGTTTATAGTGTGCAGTTTAGAGTGTGCAGTTTAGTGTGTGCAGTTTAGAGTGTGTAGTTCAGAGTGTGTAGTTTGGAGTGTGCAGTTTAGAGTGTGCAGTTCAGAGTGTGCAGTTTAGAGTGTGCAGTTCAGAGTGTGGAATTTAGATTGTGCAGTTTAGAATGTGTAGTTCAGAGTGTGCAGTTTAGAGTGTGCAGTTTAGAGTGTGCAGTTTAGAGTGTGCAGTTTAGAGTGTGGAGTTTAGAGTGTGCAGTTTAGAGTGTGTAGTTCAGAGTAAGCAGCTTTAGAGTGTGCAGTTCAGAGTGTGTAGTTTAGAGTGTGCAGTTTTGAGTGTGCAGTTCAGAATGTGCAGCTTAGAGACAGACTGAAGTGTGTGGTTTGCATTGTACAGTGAGCAGTATATTGTACAGTGTACAGTTTAAAGTTAGCAGTTGCAGTGTTTAGTGTACAGTGTACAGTGTGCAGTGTGCAGTGTACAGTGTCTATAGTGTAGTGTATAGTGTATAGTGTATCGTTTGTAGCGTGCTGTAATATACGTAGCTATATATAGGGGGGGGGGAAGGAATACTGCCCCCCTGTATACGCGATTGAACGTTAGTACAATCAATCGCTCATGAGTTTGAGGAAACGCAATAAAATGTCGTCGTTGAGCGCAAATGCCGCGAATGGGTCTCATTTATTAAAAAAATATTATCGGCAAGTGGCAACATAGATTCAGCTGACGCCAGCTACAGACTATAACCGGTGTAAGTGAAGAGTCAAATTTTAATTAATATGTAACGATTTAATAAATAGTCAGAATTTGTTGAATTATTTAGACTAAGTTGAACCACTCCTTATTACCTTGAACTGTAGTGCACATGAGAAAAGGCTGAACTATGTCTTCCTAGCTCAACTAACCAGTTTTTGCTATTACCTTATTCCGACCGATCTGACCAAGTTCAATTTATTCCTAGATTTAAATAGACCCTTTTAATTTATTAAATAATATGGGTCTGTCCTAGTGAACGATTTTTGGACCACCCCCCCAGGCCCCACCCCCTCCTATAAATTTTGTACATGACCAAATAAGATTTTATTTAGCATTATTTAGGGTTAGGTTAAGACACTTTCTGGGAGCTCCTTGTACATAATTGATAGGAGGGGGGGGGGGGTCCAAAAATCGTTCTCTAGGAATATACCAATAATATTTTGTGTAGATCATCTTGAGTTTAATTTCAGAATATAATTTACTAAAATGTCTGATCTACAGGAGGCATTGGGACAACTAATTCGCCGACGAAAAACTAGCTTGGGAGACTTTGTTTATGTCTATGTTCCACTCCCTAACCTTGTATGTGCAGGTAGAGCCAGACGTATTTGTATCAGGGGCGTATCTATAAAAAAGTAGTAATCTTTGTTTGTTTCGGTGGCTGATCAAAACTCAGGAACCCATTTACCGATTTGCCTCAAATTTTGTTCGGGATTTCAGAAGAACCACGGGAATGTTCTTAGCTTAGTTTTAGAATCTAAGTTGAGTGGGTCGACTAAAGGAAGAAATAACTAAAATCTTAATTTACGTCTAAGCGCGGACAATCAGCGGGAGTAACTATGAGTAATCTGGGCAACGCTGAGTTCCAAATATGGAATATTCGGTCATAGCGAGGGCTCAGCAGTCAGCACCCATCGGGGCCTAAAAACCACCTGATAATAATAGATTTCACAGATCAAAAGGGGGCTTAATCTCATCCCCTTCTTCACTATTTCATTGGTATATCGTTGTTTTACGCAGAATTTACTGCAGTAGTAGATTAAAAATGTTAATGATAATATATACTTTAGGTTTATATAATATCTCTCGTGTGAGGAGCAAGGGGGGGCTGAAATATGGAGTTAATAATTTAGTTAATTTCCAATCAATTTGTACATGTATCTGACATGCAACATTAGGTCATTTTTGATGTTTGGACACCTAGCCTTGAAGAAATCGAGGTTTAATTTTGATAATTACTAGCTAGGAACTCAGCTTTGCTCTGGAAGCTGTACTTTCTATAAAATATTCAACCCACTATCGGGTTCTATCGAGTTCCTCAGTCAAGTTATGATCGGACAAACAAACAGATTTCTACTTCTAAGTAATGAAGCTCTTCGCTTATATATTTATATCTATTTTTATATCTTTATACATATTTAAGCTAAAGCAGGCCAAACGGCTTGACAAAATTGTCTAAAATTATGTTGAAAAACCCATGGGTATCCTGGGAGTAACATAGGCTAAAAACATCCAATTTTTACTTCAAAAATCAAAAAGAATTTTAATCAATTTTTTTGATTCAAAATTTTTTTTACACGGGCAACGCCGGACACTTAAACTTGTAACATAAATAGATATGGTGAAAATTCTTATGCTCGAAATTCCATAATTAATCTGTTTTAGATCAAGAGAAAGCATTGAAAGTGTTCATGGCGGACAAACAAGCATATTCTAAGGCAGTTAATTCTATTTTTGAAAAAAAAATCCTGTTCTCTTATTCTTAAAATCATCAAATATTACGGAAGAAACGTGGTTTCCACTTTTTAATCTTGATTCGACATTATTTTCGGAGATTTTTTTAGGGGGGGTAATGAAATCAAGCATTTGATAAACATTAAATAAAATCAAATCAAGTGAAAATCTGAAAAGGAACCCAATGTGGAACCCCAAGACTGCCTTCAGGGCACTATGCACCACCGTGCCGATAGCGGCCTGGAGTCCAAACCAGACGAGAGCACAAATTATTTACGCCCGTGCTTGTAATTTTATTACAAATACAAATATTCTGAAAGTTTTAATTTCAGAATTACAAAATCCGAAGAAAAATTAACTTTCGAATTTTGAAGTTAGTTTTTGTTCTTCTTTCTCCTGCGAAGAAATTCTTAAGAATTAAAATCATACANAAACATACCTAGCTGTTACCTCTAAACATACCTAGCTGTTACCTCTAAACATACCTAGCTGTTACCTCTAAACATACCTAGCTGTTACCTCTAAACATACCTAGCTGTTACCTCTAAACATACCTAGCTGTTACCTCTAAACATACCTAGCTGTTACCTCTAAACATACCTAGCTGTTACCTCTAAACATACCTAGCTGTTACCTCTAAACATACCTAGCTGTTACCTCTAAACATACCTAGCTGTTACCTCTAAACATACCTAGCTGTTACCTCTAAACATACCTAGCTGTTACCTCTAAACATACCTAGCTTTTACCTCTAAAGATGAGACATCAATGTCTATATCTGAATGTCACAAGTTTTTTTAGCGATACTTTTATTATTTTTGCAATGAGTGCTGTCAAGTACAGTTGTCTGAAACGTTTCATCTTTTTTGGGGTACCCCGTTATTCATGTTGGACAATTGTATCAGTTCTATTTTACTCTTTATAAGATATTTCTGAAGTAATTGTTCATAAGCCTCCCGGATTTTCTGTACAAATTTTATACTAAGATTTCAAAAAAAAATTTACGCGAAATGAAAGATATAAAGAAAACAAATTCTAAAATGAAATCAGATTTGTTCAAATCTATACTTGAAGGAATACATTTTGTGTTGATATTTTTGTTTTAAATTTAGATAATTCTTAACAATAATTTTGCATTACAAGGTTTATAAATAATGTTTCAAAAAGGTATCGCTTGAATCAAAACTTTCAACAAATCAAATCGAATTCAATTCATAATAAACATTATCCATTTCGCGTAAAAAAAACTTTGGACTTTTAGTTATAAAGTTGGTCTGCATAGCGGAGGCTCGGTGTTGCAAAGCAAATTGAGGAGGCTCATGGCTGCCGGGGGTTCCCTCCCTCAAAAATTTAACTTAGATTAATTGATTTTTTTTTTCAGGGCCCACCTCAGCTTCTCTCCTTAAAAGACAGGTAATTAAAATACCTGATTTAATTTAAAATATTTTATTTCATTTCGGGGGAATTTATAACACCTAATATTTTTCGTTGTATGGCGATAAAACTAAATATGTTATTATTTAATGGGTATAATGCGTGTGAAACTATTTTTGCTTGGATTTTTACTTGTTCTACGGGAAAAAACCGGCAAAAACTTTTTCGCACTCATGATACCTATTACAATAACATAGATAGATATAAAAGATTTTGTTATAAATTGAAGAATTAGATTAATTCAAATATGCTTTAATTTACGAATCTTTAAATTGACAGTATTTTTTTGTTTTGAATCAGATTAATTCAAATAAGTTTTAATTTACGAATCTTTAAATTGACAGTATTTTTTTGTTTTGAATCAGATTAATTCAAATAAGTTTTAATTTTCGAATCTTTAAATTGATTTTTTTGTTTTAAGTTGAAGAATTAGATTAATTAAAATATCTTTTAACGAATATTTAAATTGACAGTATTTTTTCTAAATCAGAGAGAGAAAAATCCGTTCTCATATATTATTCTATGTAATTTTAGGGTTACCTAAGATTTGGTTGACAGTCCTTTATTATGTTTTTTTAATGTTAAGTTCCGTGTAAGAACCAAGCCAACGGATGCTGAGAAAATGTTTGAGTTTCTTAAAACCATGCCAAAGGTGGAATCTGTTGAGAAATGCAAAGGTGATGATTTTAAATGGTTTCTAGGTCGAAATATCATGTTCAATGTTTTAAATGGTTTCAAGGTTGAAAATCAAATTCAAAATTTTAAATCGTTTCAAGGTCGAAATATCGAGTTCAATGTTTTAAATGGTTTCAAGGTCGAAATATCAAGTTTAATGTTTTTTATGGTTTCAAGGTTGAAATATCAAGTTCAATGTTTTTAATGGTTTCTAGGTCGAAATATCATGTTCAATGTTTTAAATGGTTTCAAGGTTGAAAATCAAATTCATAATTTTAAATCGTTTCAAGGTCGAATTATCGAGTTCAATGTTTTAAATGGTTTCAAGGTCGAAATATCATGTTCAATGTTTTAAATGGTTTCAAGGTCGAAATATCAAGTTCAATGTTTTAAATGGTTTCAGGGTCGAAATATGAAGATCAATGTTTTAAATGGTTTCAAGGTCGAAATATCATGTTCAATGTTTTAAATGGTTTCAAGGTCGAAATATCAAGTTCAATGTTTTTATGGTTTCAAGGTCGAAAAATTAAGATCATGTTTTAAATGGTTTCAAGGTCAAAATATCAAACTAAGAAGAAATATCAAGTTCAATATTTTAAATGGTTTCAAGGTAGAAAAATCAAGTTCAATGTTTTAGAAATCATTTCCCCCAACGCCCTAATTTATACACCCATGATTTGGTTTTCCATTTTCCCTCATTTTTGTTTTAACAATTTCCTTATTCAGGAAGTCCACGTGACAAAATGTTTAAGACAGCATATCTCATAACTTTCACAGGTTAGCTTAATATAAACAATATACAGGGGAATATACAAAGAATACGACTATAAAGGAAATGTTTGCGAAAAACCGAAAGGGTACTTTAAACCATTTGCTCTATATATTCCCTTTAGATAGAAGTAAAATTAGTAACGATCGTATCCAACTTTAATTTGGATTCAGTCGGATTTTATTTTTCGCAAACACTCCCTTTAATTACGAGCTAACACTCGTAGAATATAAGAATCTAAAGATTGAATGATCTTGTTTAAAAGTATTTTTGATTGATTGAGTAGGAAAGGAATTAATTGACTAATTGATTTATCTAATCATTGATCTAATGTTTAATCAAGTTTTTATCTAATGATTGTTAATCTAAAGATTGATCCAATAATTGATTTACTTGGATTGTGCATATAAATTGTAAAGTTGCCAGAAACATTTAGATATGTTTAGGGCCATAAATATATGCAATTAAGGTATTTATCTAGTGGTCGATGTAATAATTGATCTTATGGTTATTTCATAATGATAAATTGATTGATTGATCGCTAAGATGCTGCTGCGTGTGATGACTTTAAAGCTGAGAAGGTGGTGTGCCCCTACGGGAGACTGGACCGGGGTGTAAACCAGTATCATATGAGTACCAAGAGGTAAACCAGGGATTTTAAAGGAATTGTCACCTTCATTTTAAATATTCTTTAAAGGGACATCAAGCGTATTTTTAATTTATACTCCATGCAAAGATTACAATGCCCGATTTACAAAGGTACCCTTGAAACCTTGATCTGATAGAAAAACACTTTTGAGAGAAACCGCAATTTGAAACGAACGGTTTAAAAACATTGATATCTAATTCGTACTTGATCAGACAAGATACCGTTGTAAATCGGGCATTGGCATCTTTGCATGGAGGGTCATTTAAAATTGCGCTTACAATCCCTTTAAATGTAATTAAAGGTGTATACATTACTTTATGATATACTAGCTTGGGAACCCAGCGCTGCCAAGGATACTAATAATTACTCCCGCTGTTTACCCGCACTTTAATGATTATACCGGAAAACTAAATGTTCGCTTTTAAAGTCGACCAACTTAACTTAGAATCTTAATACCAAGCTTCCGAGTTCCCCAATAAAAATTTGAGGCAAATCTGTCCATGGGTTCCTGAGTTAAGATCGGACAAATAAACATAATACAAATTAAGGATGTAATCCTAGTAAAGTTATTTCAGAAGTGTACACATCTTTTGTACTGCAGTGTACTGTCTCTGGGCGGTAATGTAAACACAAGACGGATGTCAAAACCTGACATGGGATCCTCTTTCACAAAAAAAAAATCAATGAAATATTCTGGTCATAGGAAACTATTATGTGAATTATCAAAATTATCAAAATTTAATGCTTTTAACCTCCTCGGATACTAAACGAACACTGATGCATCTATTCTTGTTTACAAATTCCGCCCAAAGAGAACTGGTTTCAATATGTACGCAGAGTATACACGACCGCAATTAACTTTCCTTCCATTACACCCTTGATACAAATTAACGTTAAGAACTAAGTAATCTGAAAAAAGCTTTTCCAGAAAAGCACACACGTAACGTCAGAATACACTAGTACTTTCTTTAAAATTAATTATCGTTTTTTTCCTTTATCTTCTTAGATTCATTAAATAACACTTATGATAATGCAAATAACTCTGAACAAATAATGGATAACAATGAGTTACATCAAATTAAACTGTCAAAGTTTTAAATATCGATTGTTAATTCTATCAGGTTGGTAAGACACTAAGAATAGAAAATTTAAGTTTGTGGCAAGCAGTGCTTAGGATCCATTTAATTTTGATGCGGATCCGGATCCTGGATCTGCACTGGAAAAAAATGGATGCGGATCCAAATCCGGATCCAAATCCAAATCCGGATCCTGATCCAGGTTCTTTTCTTTAAGATTTACTGAATTTTTAAACAAAAAATAATTTTCAAATTTTTTTTTTATTTTTTTTCGCTTATTTTTATCCTAAAACTTGATGAACCATTCAGAAATGAGTAAATTTTATAATCTCTCTCTTTTCAAAAGTTCAGATTTGGGTTTTAAGATTAAGAAAGTTTTTTTTTGCAGTTTTTAGTCCGCATATTATCCGGATCCGGATCCAGGAAGCCAAAATCTTGCGGATCCAACGGATCCTGATCCGGATCCTAAGCACTGGTGGCAAGTAATCAGTTCCTTGAGCATATTTTTACAGTTATAATCAGAAAACAATGGAATGGGAAGACGACATTATATCAATATTTAATGTTGTCACAAAGCAAATAATTTTACTAGACACTAATTAAATGAGCTTGCTAGCACTGCACAATTGCTGTGTTTCAAGCTCATCAAACTTTTTCAAGTTATAACTTAAGATCTTAATGTCGTCTTGCTATTTCATAGTTTTCTGGTTATCACTGTATCTTTTAGGCCGACGAATATGCTGGGAAGAGCACTTCGTCACAAATTCTTCTGCTCTGTAAGATATATCAAAGCTTACGCAGACACTGGGGAACTAGAGAGAGAGGTACAATATATTAACAGGGGTGTATATTTTCCTTAAAAAATTGATTAAAATATCCCCGAAGAAGTTATATTTTTGTTTTTAGGGTTTTTCGCTTTATTTGGGAAATTAAATGTCTTTTTCTTAGTAAACAGTGTCAAAAAAATTAAACTTGCTTTTTGGTGTCCCATTATTAATTTTTTGCGTCCCCTTTTTAATTTTTGGTGTCCCATTATTAATTTTTTTTTCCAAAATCATCAAAAATCGTGCCACTGTCTTCAATAGCATGAAGTTCTAAACTATTATTTTTCTAGTTAAGAATTATTTTTCATTTAANTCGGGAATCTCTTAAAAAGTCTCGCAATGTATCCTAAAATATTGAACTATTTGTCTTTAAAATATTATGGAATTGATTTAGTTCATATCATGATTTTTGACTTTTTTTTAGAATCAGCCAGCCGCCCACCTGAGGTCGTTGCGTTTTTACTTCAAAAAAATCTTTTAAGAAAAAAAAATCGTTCATAGGGTTGCGAATTGGCAATTTGATATTGGAGAAATCGCCGTAAGGCGTAAGGCCTAAATAAATATTTCAAAAAACTAAATATGATACATCATTTTCTTGGTAATTTCATGCTAAATTCAGATTAGAAAACCATTTTTAAAAATAATAAAATCTTAAGAAGTTATGGCTAAAAAACGGTACTAAATTCCGTTTTTTTAATTTGTTGATGTTTTTGATTAGTTTTTTAGCTCTAACTCACTCAATTTTCAATTATTAAAAATTTAAAAAACGCTTTTCATATTTGAATTCAGCATTAAATTTCCAAGAAAATGATGTGTAACATAAAGATAAAAAATAAATTTTTTTGTGGACTTGCGGTGAATTTTCCGATATTAAATCGCAACCCTATGGACGATTTTGAATTTTTTGTTTGATTGCAATATTTTTGTAATGAAAACGCAGCGACCTCCGGTTCGCGGTGGGCTTAATTCCATTATTGATCTCCCCTAATGGCCAGTGCATTTTATTTATTGCAATGATGAATTAATAAAGAATTAATGATGAATTAAGGAATCTCTTAAAAAGTCTCGCAATATATCCTAAAATATTAAACTTTTTGTCTTAAAATTTGAAAAAATTTCCGAATTGATTTAGTTCATACATTGCCAGCGCATTTTATTGCAGCAATGAATTAATAAATGAATATTTTTTAAAAGATATTTTTTTAAAGGGCTTTTTAGTTATTTTCATTATCATAAATAAATACATTTACATTTTATATTGATTTTTACGTAAAATAACAATATCATTTGAATGAATATATTCAGGTTCTAATCCTGGCTAGGGGCCAATGCACAAAGGCGGAAAAGGTTAGTGTTTTTTTTTCCAGTTTTCAACTAACCCATTTTTCATAGAAACACGTCGAATTTAAAATGAAATTTTAAGATATACGCCATAGAACAACTACTTACTGTTTCAGTTACTTTTGTAAAAAAAATAATTGATTTTAGAAGTCTTGTTTTGTAACTGTAAACCAACCTAAAGTCTTGTTTTGTTACTGTAAACCAACCTAAAATCTTGTTACGTAACTGTAAACCAACCAAAAGTCTTGTTTTGTTACTTTAAACCAACCAAAAGTCTTGTTTTGTAACTGTAACCCAACCTAAAGTATTATTTTGTAACTTTAAACCAACCGAAAGTCTTGTTTTTTAACTGTAAACCAACCTAAAGTCTTGTTTTGTAACTGTAAACCAACCTAGTGTCTTGTTTTGTAACTGTAAACCAACCTAAAGTCTTGTTTTGTAACTGTAAAACAACCAGACGTCTTGTTTTTTAACTGTAAACCAACCTAAATTCTTGTTTTGTTACTGTAAACCAACCTAAAATCTTGTTTTGTAACTGTAAACCAACCTAAAGTCCATCTATTAGCTCGTCTTGTTTAGCAAAAGAGGATCTTAAAAAATTATTGCTTTCGCCAAATAAATCTTGTAAAGCCATTTGAGAACCAAGCTTTTTTTCAACCCCGAGATTCGGATCTTGAAAACCTGAAGCCGAATTTAAACAATTTAAATCGCGTCTCAAATCCGCCAAAAATCGGTTCCAATTAAGCGCCGGCTCAAATCTCGAAACACGGAATACGATATCAAATGGAACCAACCATGTTTGAGCCGCGCGTCTTAAATTCTTTAAATTTGGCCTCTGGCCGCCGTATTTGGAGAATTCTAGATCTGTATCCTAGCTGAGATTTCAAAGCTTAACCCCGATTAAACCAAGTTTAAAATCATCTTAATTGGATGAAATAAAACCAATCAGGAGCCAACCTAAAACTCGGTGTTCACAAAAACTTGAGCTTACAGAAGGTCGCGCTTTACTAAGAAACCCATGAAAATGGATATCATTAAAAAAGACAGGTCCGAATAAAGCAAATGTTTTTCTATTGCATTCTCCCCTAGATGCGAGAATGGTTAGTCCAGAACGATGTAGCGGACGTGGAGAAAGTTCGACCTGTTTTATCAAAATTTCCAACTAAACAGGTAGGGACAAGTCCCCCCCCCCTTCCGAGCTTTTCTTTCTTTCTCCTTCACCTCCCTTTCTACCCTTTCCCCTCCCCTCCTTCGCCCTATCCCCCCCCCCGTCATAATAAACTCCGTGACCCCTCTTTTAATTTTCTTTCAACTTTGTTAAACCACTCCCGCTTTTCCTGAAAATCATTTTTGTATCTTGCAATAAGGTTTTTCCTCCCGGGTTTGTCATGATCCCTTTTAAGCAGTTGCTTTAGAGATTAAACCTCTTATTATTTTTTCTTCCAAACTCTATGTTGATCGATACCATTTTTAAGCTGGTGTCATTCTTTCGGTTTTATCTAGGTTTTAGTCCTCTTCAAGACTCCCGAGGCTGCGCAGATGTTCTTGAAGCGCGACCTCTTGATGATGGAGAAGAAGGTGGATGCAATCCTCTACTCAGATATTGGAAAACTCATCGGTAAATATTATTCACGGGTGTGTATCCCCGCCACCCCCTCCAGGGGGGGGAATGATTTTTGGGGATCGGGGGAGGGGGAAAAAAACGAAAAAGTAAGTTTTTTCGTCCTTTTTCATCCTTATTCAGTTCTTACCCAAAGATTTGTTTAAGATATGTTTTTGTTTAAAAGATAAATATAAATATTAAACAAAATTATTTTAATAGTATTGCAAGATTCCAATATTTCCCTCTTGTAAAAAAAATACTATGGGGGGAGGAATCCCAGGACTGAGAAAAAACTCAAGTGTGAAACTGCACCCCAACATTTATTTTTGATATTTAAAAAAATAATTGGTATTAGAAATGGTCTGTTCATTCTTCTTACCGTTGACATCAGTTCTTTGGTTTGTTAATGTTTTTTTTATTTTAAGATCGGTTCCCCTCGGATGGAAAGGTGGACGGAGATAACGAATATAGTTCCCGGGATCCTTCCACCAGGATATATGTTCAACTCTACTCAGAAGCTTTTAAACAACTAGTTGATATTCTAGATATATTCCAGGTGGGATTGATTGATTGATTGATTGATTGATTGATTGATATCTGTTCAACTCACTCAGAAGCACTTTAACAACTAGTTGATATGCTAGATATATCCCAAGTAGAGGCACTTAAAGAACTAGTTGATATTATAGATACATTTCAGGTGTTTGATTGATTGATTTTTTGTTTGATTGATTGATTGTTTAAATGGTTGATTTATTTATTTATTTTTAATTAGGAAAATAATGACTTGAGTTATACTGATTGCATTAGGATGAGGTTACCTGTCTGATTGATTAATTGATTTGGATGATTGATTTATTGATTATTAGGATGAAGAGCTATAGGAATGTATTCAGTTACCCTCTAATATCCCCTCTTTTATTGGCGGAGAAGAGATGCTTGAAAAACCATCCCTTGATTGATTGATGATTCATGATTGATTCATGATTCATGATTGATTCATGATTCATGATTGATTCATGATTCATGGTTGATTGATTGATTGATTTTTTGACTAGGATGAAGAGCTAGAGGATTGTATCCAGTTACCCTCTGAAATCCCCTCTTTTATTGGCGGAGAAGAGATGCTTGCTTAACCATCCCTTTGATTGATTGATTGATTGATGGATGGATGGATGGATGACTAGGATGAAGAGCTAGAGGACTGTATCCAGTTACCCTCTGATATCCCCTCGTTTGTTGGCGGAGAAGAGATGCTTGCTTAACCATTCCTTGATTAATTGATTGATTGATTGATTATTAGGATGAAGAGCTAGAGGACTGTATCCAGTTACCCTCTGATATCCCCTCTGTTATTGGCGGAGAAGAGATGCTTGCTTAACCATCCCTTTGATTGATTGATTGATTGATTGATTGATGGCTGGATGGATTGATTGATTGATTGATTGATTGATGGATTGATGGATTGATTGATGACTAGGATGAAGAGCTAGAGGACTGTATCCAGTTACCTTTGATATCCCCTCTTTTATTTGCGGAGAAGAGATGCTTGCTTAACCATCCCTTTGATTGATTGATTGATTTGATTGATAAATTGATTGATTGATGACTAGGATGAAGAGCTAGAGGATTGTATCCAGTTACCCTCTGATATCCCCTCGTTAATTGGCGGAGAAGAGATGCTTGCTTAACCATCCCTTTGATTGATTGATTGATTGATTGATTGATTGATTGATTGATTGATTGATGACTAGGATGAAGAGCTAGAGGATTGTATCCAGTTACCCTCTGATATCCCCTCGTTAATTGGCGGAGAAGAGATGCTTGCTAAACCATCCCTCCTCCTCTCATACAAAACTGCGGCCAAGGAAAACAATGTTCAATTTGATAATTGTGATGGGGATTTATTTCTGACTTAGTTTATAATAATCATAGAAATTACAAACGATCTTTCAAAAGTGTACCCTATAAAGATACTGACCTAAAATAAACACTTGACATCGATATACAATACTAGGCTTCTAGGCATTAAGCTTGGATTTAGGAAGAGGGTGGGGGGTAATCGTGCAATAAACACCCTTGGTCAACATTAAGCTTGGGGTTAGGAAGAGGGGGGGGGGGGTAATCGTTGAAATAAAACCCCCTTGGTCAACATTACGCTGGGATTAGGTGACTGAAGTTCTTGAGAGGGTTGATGATTTTAATACGGATAAAACGTACAGGTACAATAAATCAATCAAATTGGATCGGATGTTTTGTGGTTTATTTTTTTATAAAATTCAGCTTTGACTGACCATCTAAACTTTCCCTGTTAAATTTACATCCTTAATGTAGAATTTTTAAACCAAGCTAAGAACATTTCTGGGGTTCTACCGACTTTACCAAAACTTTAGGCAAATCGGTTCAGTTGATCCTGAGTTATGATCAGATTAACAGAGATTCCTACTATATATATATATTTTTTTTTTTATATATCTTTTTTGAAATTGGAATTCTTATGATTTTTATTAATTAGAGAATGGGTGTACGCGACCTCTCTGAGCCAACAGATCAAAGATAGAAGGGTCGGACAGTATCTACGTTCAGACTGTACAGACTCGGCGGAAATCTGCCAAACATTCTTTGAGAAAACCGTAAGTTTTTTTTATTCGCAACTGCTTTTATTTCTTTGGCCTTTGTGGTTTTCTTTAATTTTGATTTCATTTGTTGACGACATTATTATAAAGTTTGTTAAAAATAAAAATTGGATGATTAATTTTTAAAAATTTGAAGTTTCTGCCCTTCTCCATTTTTTTCAACGAAATTAGCTGCATTGTGGATTTTTTGGATAGAAACGTATTACGAACTTGCAAATTATCAAGATGATTACAGTTTCGTCAAAATGTTTTACAATACAATTTTTGTGTTCTCTCTCCATAAAGGAGATAAAGTTTTTAAAAAAAGTTGAAATCTGTTTATTGATGTTTGAGGAGTTTTAAAAATTTATTCTTTTAATAAACTTTCCATGTCTATTTATAAAACAATACTATCATTTTATGATTTTTTTAGTGGGGGAAGGGGCCAGAGGTGATAGAATTTTAGATAGATATTTTACTTGCCAGTTTTAAAATTTTAGATAGACTTGCCAGTTTTAAAAATAGTATTTCCAAAGTAATCTATTTATTTTTTTCAGGATGATTACGTGAAGTTTGCGCCACCGAACTCCAATCCGAAGAAGGAGAAGAAAGCAAAGGCTGAACCGATTGCTGCTGCTGCTGCTGTAAGCGCAGCTGGGGCCTCGGTTAGTTTTTATCATTTAGGACCCGCTTCTGCTAAATCGGCGCGAATTAAAAAGATGCTTAAAAATGTCCGTTTTTTGTAGAACCTATATTTTTTTCACAACCCCTAAAACCTATTTTATTTTTTCAGCATTAAAAATAAATCTATGGTTTTTATTTTTGAAAGTTGTAAGTTCATCGTTTAAAAAATTCGAACAATCCACCACCAGTGTAATGTATACAATAAATATGTAACTTTCCTTTTTTTGAATTTGTGGGAAATATTCTCGCAAGCTCTTTTTTTTGAGGTTTTTAAATTTTTTCTCCTGAAATACTTAATTTGTATGTTTTTGTTTTAAGAAAAAATGTGAGCCCCGCTGTCAAATTCCATGTACATTGTACACCCCTGAACCCTTTAAGCTTTTTTTTTTGTTTCCAGATGACATCAAAGTACTCATTTGCTCCAGTTTTAATAAAGGGATATCAGTTAAAGAGACTGTAAGCGTAATTTTAAGTGACCCTTCATGCAAAAATCGCAATGTCAGATTTACAACGGTACCCTTGAAAACTTGTTTAAATAAGATATTAATGTTATAGTTTCATTAAACTGTTATATTGCGGATTCTTAGCATTTCTTGTTGTTAAGATGCCATGGAGAAACGGGCAGGAATAAACACTTTTTTGATTTAGAAAACTGTCGGTCTATTTTCCATATTATTGATCAGACTAAGATTTAGATGCACCGTTGTAAATTTGGCATCGCCAAGGTTTTAATGCAAGGAAAGTTATTTCAGAGGTGTACGCATCTTTTGTACTGCAGTGTACTGTCTCTAGTCGGTAATGTAAACACAAGACGGATGTCGAAGCCTGAAATGGGATCCACCTTTCACATAAAAAATCAATGAAATGTTCTGGTCAAAGGAAAATATTATGTGAATTATCAAAATTATCAAAATTTAATGCTTTTAACCTTCCTCGGATACTAGAGGAAAACTGATGCATCTATTCTTGTTTATAAAATTTTGCCCTGAGAGAACTGGTTTCAATATATACGCAGAGTAAACGCAACTGCAATTAACTTTCTTTGCATTATAACCTTGGGCATCTCCATCTTGCTTGAAATTACTTTTCTGTTCTTTTAATCTGCCTTGAAATTAGAATGAGTTTAGCTTAATTAATCCGTACATTTAAAAGTTTTGAATTAAGGTTAAGAAGGAAAGTATGGATGTAACTGTATTGAACACAAACCGTCAAGTGGAGATGGGAGAATGGGTGGTCTGTGTTCTTCAACAGAACTTTGCACAAGTAACTTTTATATATACAATCAAAATTGTAGAATTATTGTTACTTTTCATTTTCGAAATTTAAATGGTTAGGAAGAGAATCACTAATTTAAAGACAAAGCTTATAACTTTTATTGCTCATATGGTCCAAGCTAAAAGACCTCACTTCATTCTTGAACTAGCAAATTCATGTTGAGTTTTAGGGGGGGGGGAGGGTTGATAGCAGGACTCCCTAACAGCATCATTTGATTTGATTTTCAAAAACTAATTCTACTAAATAACTAACTTAATTTTACTAAATAGCAAACTAGATCTACTAAATAACAAGCTAGATCTACTAAATAACTAACTTAATTTTACTAAATAACAAACTAGATCTACTAAATAACTAACTAATTCTACTAAATAACAAACTAGATCTACTAAATAACTAACTAATTCTACTAAATAACAAACTAATTCTACTAAATAACAAACTAAATCTACTAAATAACTTAACTTAATTCTACTAAGCAACTAAATAAATCCTCTAAACAACTAACTAATTCTACTTAATAACTAACTGATTCTACTAAATAACTAACTATGTCTACTAAGTAATAAATTAATTCTATTGAATAACAAACCAATTATAATAAACAACAAACTAAATCTACTTGATAGCTATCTTAATTCTACTAAACAACTAAATAAATCTACTAAGCAACTAACTAATTCTACAGAATTACTAACTAATTCAACTGAATAAATAACTTATTCTACCAAATAATCAAATAATTCTACTAAATTATCAAATAATTCTACTAAATAATCAAATAATTCTTCTAAATAACTAACTAATTCTACTAAGTAACTAACTAATTCCATATTTAAAATAATAAAGACTGTATTCTAGGTGGCGTGGATTGCCAGTGATTCTCAGGTAAAGATATCTTAAAAGATGTTGGTCAAATAATCTTTTTTTTAACCTAAGACAGTTCTTCATGCTAATTCTTTTTCGAATCTTTTGAACTTAACAAAAAAAATAAGGATTATTTTTCAATTCCTTTTTTCTGTCTTGCATTTTATAAATTCCAAATCCAAAGAAAAAATTAGGTTTGTGACCAATTTGCAAATTAAGTATCGTAAAAGTAGTTTGGAAGGAGCGCGATGGCTGAATTTTAAAAAAGTGTCTTCAGAAATTATTTTTTGTAAATCATTTTTAAAATATTTTATCGGAATTAATTTCTCGCATTAAAAAAAAAACAAAAAACAAGTAAACATGATCAGGAATTTATTTTTAAAGAAATAAAAAAGAGTGCATAACTTATATTATTTAAACTTGCTCATACAATTTGTGACCCCTTTTCTATTAGTTTTTTTTTAGTTTTTAACGTTTTCTCCAATGTAACCAATTGTTCTTCGTACATTTTAAAAGCAAATAATTAAGGTTTCGCAGATTTTTATTTGTTCCGTACATAAACAAACCAAATTTAACGTTTATTGTTTGTTCTTTAAATAAACAAACCAGATTTACCTTTTTTTAGTTCTGTTCATAAACGAACCAGACTTCACAGATTTTTATTTATTCCGTACATAAAAAAAAACAGACTTTACAGATTTTTTATTTGTTCCGTACATAAACAAAGCAGATTTCACAGTTTTTATTTTTCTGTACATAAACAAACCAACAATTAGACATTAAACATTTTTTTATATTAGATGCAATTTTTTTAATTTGTTAAATTTATTCTCGTTTTCTTCTGTCCACCGAGCTTAATCTGACTTCTGTTTCCCCCTGCAGGAGATTGGTAGATACTTCTTTGAGAACCACGCTAATGTTTTGGAGATAAAGATGAGAAACAACAGCGACATTGTGTATGTCAGGTACAGTACCAGCTCCCCAGTCAGGAATAAATGTCGTCTTCCGCACACAATGAAAACTACATCTTGACCGATTACAAACTTTTAACAAGGTTTTGACGCCATACCATAGGAGAAGTGACCTTAGAACCGATTCTTTTCAAAAAAGACAGTGGTCGACCATAGGACGACTTTGACTATGGTCGCATTAATTACGGAACACTCACGTCGATGAGCCTGTTTCTGTTGCGATTCATTTAATGGCCAACTTTTTTCCTTTGCTACGTACGTCATCAAGTCGATTACCTTATTCTGATTAGATTCGGGCTCTGGAGTCAAAACTTTAAAGTTGTAATAATTTCATTGTTTAAAGACGACACTTCCAATTCCTCTTATATTGGAACTGTACTGTGTAGACACACTTTTATTTCTCGCATCTCATGATAAACTGAACCTCTCCTGGGGGGACCCTGGTATCCTGGTACCATGGAAACCTCGGAACCAACCAGGAGAAGGGGTGTTGAGCTGAGAATGTAGTTTTCTTGTAAATTGTTATTTATTGTTTTTATATTATTCAAGTTTTGATAAATCTTTCAGCGGGGGTTTCGAATCTTAATTCAACCCCTAGAATCTCTACTTTAATCGGGTCTAAGTAAGCCTTAAACCGTCGAAAAAAAGTCTAAAAATATAATTTTTCTAAAATGCTCATGATGAACCTATCTCTATTTTATGCATGTTTCATTCCCATGTATGCTTATTGCTTATAATTTAACTAGGTTTGGATCCCCTAAGGATGCTCTGGTGTTCGTTGGACTGAGCTATGTTATGTTCTTGGGTGAGTAGAGAGGTCTTGAAAATAATATTTCTGTCGATTGCGGCTAAATAAAAAAGAGACAAAATCATAAATTTTCGTTTTCAGGAGTGTACGTTCAGCGTTGTCTATTCTTTGATCATCCCTATTACCGAATGGCAGAAATTCGTGCATTTCTGGGGGGTCCGCTGACTGTCCAGAATGGTCATCTGCCTAAAAACGACGCAAGAAATATAATCACAAAGGTGGCAACGGTAAACCAATCATTACAACATCATTACAAAAAAAGAACATTTTCATTTATAGATTCAGTCATTGATCCATTGAATCATTTTTCGATGCATCGCTGCATAGATTTAATTTTTCATTGATGCATTAATAAATTGATTTATTGATGCAAAGATACTTTGATATGTGATAGATTTATACATTGCATTGCTACATGATGAATTGATGCACAGATACATTGATGTATTGATACGTTGATGCATTGCTGCGTTGAAATAATGGTCCATTATTGATAGATTGATAACGTGATGCCTTGTCGTACTAACATATAAATACACTGACACATTGATGCATCAATTCCTGGATACATGATGCAATCTTGCTTTGATGCATTAATACATTTTGATACATTGATATGTGATAGACTCTTATATTTATTTATTGATACATTAGTTTATTAATGCGTTGATTCACTGAACGTTTATGCATAAATGCACACGATGACATATTATTTGATTGATTGACTGCTAGGTCCCTGGTTCTGTTCATAACAATGGAATTCTGTTTACTGGATTCACAACCAAGTTTACCAACGCTCAGATTTTTGAGAGGTAGCAATAGTATATAGTATATAATATATATAATGTGTGGGCCGTCTTCATTACAGTAGAAGAAGCAGGCATGAAAAGAACTGTAAAAGTATTTTTATTTGACCTTCCATTGATAGACATGGCATGTCCGATTCACAAGAGCGAACTTTCAACCTTTTTCTGATCAACGAAGAAGATATTCTTGTTTATCTAACTTGTTTATCTCATGCCGTAGTTTGATACAAAAAAGTCTAATTTCTTTCCTGTGTTTATGAAGCCTACACCTCCATAAATGGTGGATTACTTAGAATTATGTCTTATAGTCCATTTTAACGTTTTTGAAACCTTAGTATTAGGTGACCTGACAACAATACCTTCTAAAAATTAATCAAAGATGTAAGTCCTAAATTGTTTTTTTTAATAAAGCAGTTGGGAAATTTAAGTAAAATTTTGAGAATAAAGTTTTAAAAAGTAGTAGGTGGGGGACTTCCTACTAAGTCAAATTTGTTCTACTACATAACGTTATATGAAGAAAAAGTTGTCACAAGTGGGATCTCATCATCACAAGTTCGCATATATTTCATAATTAACCATTGCACTTAAAAAATTGATTTATCCTGAACCAGTGCTTATAATCCAGATCCGTTGGATCCGCAAGAGTTTGGCTTCCTAGATCCAGATTCACAAAAATATGTGGATCAACGATTCCGGATCCAAGGGGCAAAATATCAACCAAAAACTGCAAAAAAAAAAATTACTCTCAACCCAAATCTGAACTGTTTAAAAATGAGAGATTATAAAAAAAAAATTCCTGATCTATGAATAGTTCAAGTTTTAGCACAAAAGAAGAAGAAAATAATCTGGCAATTCTGCTTTGTTAAAAAAAAATTCAGTAAAGCTTAAAGAAATGGTTAATCTGGATCCAGATCCAGCTTTTTCCAGTGCGGATCCAGGATCCGGATCAGAATGAAAACTAAATGGATTCTGTTCCTGAGCACTGTATAAAGCATATTTTGTTTAATTAGATTGAAGTCTGAGATTGGATTGGAGAAGCCCAGTATAGTCAAGGGGGATTGGAAGAAGGAAGGAGATAACTGGAATTGTATTGGTTAGTTTTTTTTCCGAAGGTTGTATAATAAGGTTAGATGGTAGATACTCTGGATGCGCTCCAACGTAGCTAAAGACGACCTTTATAGCAACGAGTCTAGTCTAAATCCTCGTCCATATGACGTCACTGCTTGTTTTAAAAATAATAAATTTTGCGGCTCAATGAATATAAACGTTCTCAAAAATTGAAAACTTGATTTAGAATTTAATTTGTTAATGCGATGATTGTTAGTTAAGTATCAGTGACGTCATATAAGGATTTAGCGTCTTCATTGCTATAAAGACGACATTTGCCTACATTGGAGCACATTTAGAGTATCTAACCTGACATACAACCTTGTATTTTTCTGAGTCAGGGGTGTATATTTTCTTGGCAATTATTGTACTTATACACCCTTGTTTTCTCTTTTAATACTTTTAAATGATAATTTACCACCTCTTTTTTATCTTAAAATAATCAATTTTACGCAGATTTTTATTTTATTTTTTATGGTGTGTCAGTTTTAGATACCAATCACACGGATTGTTCTGGTTCGTTTATACAGTACACTCATTCAAGGGATTGATCTGGTTCGTTTATACAGTACACTCATTCAAGGGATTGATCTGGTTCGTTTATACAGTACACCAATTCAAGGGATTGTTCTGGTTTGTTTATACAGTACACTAATTCAAGAGATTGATCTGGTTCGTTTATACAGTACACCAATCACACGGATTGTTCTGGTTCGTTTATACAGTACACCAATCACACAGATTGTTCTGGTTCGTTTATACAGTACACTCATTCAAGGGATTGATCTGGTTCGTTTATACAGTACACCAATCACACGGATTGTTCTGGTTCGTTTATACAGTACACTAATTCAAGGGATTGATCTGGTTCGTTTATACAGTACACTATAATTCAAGGGATTGATCTGGTTAGTTTATACAGTACACTAATTCAAGGGATTGTTCTGGTTTGTTTATACAGTACACTAATTCAAGGGATTGACTGTTTATTTTATAAACCAATTAAAGGCAATGTTATTTTTTAAGAAGATTCAAATGTACTTGATTTAGGTAATTTAGTACAGGCTATTTCTTCCTGTATTCTGGTAAACGTTTTCTTTACAAAAGTGGAAAGAATAATTAGTAGCTTCATTCCTTTAGTATTATTGGATTTGGGAGTAGAGGAGATAAACAGGTATGCTGACAGGTGGACAAACCTTCGTGTCATCATGGGAGAACATGCAATAAAGGTAATAACAAATATTTAATTTGTCTTTCTTCATTTTTAAACATTTTCTCGAAAATTATTCCCTTTTGATAAAATTATAATCTAAAACAAACTTTCTCTGTTATTTTTTATCTTTCCAAGAAATCACATAGTCATGAGTGTTTTTCATTTTTTCGAAAGTTGTTTTTGACTTACTAAATATCAAATATAAGAGCTTTCTTTTCTACTTAAGACTTTTAAATCATTATTGCAAATTGCGAGATTTGATTTTGTCGAAATTTTTATAATTACAATAATTAGGCTGAGTTCTATGCAAAGCCACCCCCTGCCCCTAAGAAGAAGGCCCCCAGGAAGACCACGAAAAGGACGAGGGGGGACTCGGAGTCCACCGGGACTAACGGTGTCAAGAAGATGAAGAACATTGAGAAATATTTAGATCATTAATACTAGATTTGAAACCTGAGTTCTTGCAATCATGTTCAGTGTTCACATTAGTATAAAATCAACATTTTGTTATGTATTATTGTGTATTTTCTCTCTTTTCTAAGATACTGTGTTGTATTTTTTTGACCGGGGGGGGGGTTATTCATAGGTGCAATCAATTTATTTAGAAGAGGGGGGGATTCAAATGAAAATGTATTTGTAACGGCGCGACACAGTGAATCTCTATGTGGTAGCGGCTTGGCGCTAGTGCTTGGGAGGCGCCTAGTTCCGCCTCTGTATTGCATATTGCATTAAGGTGCACACATCAATTTAACTTGTACATTAAACAATCCTAATAAATTACTGAACATTTTGCAACGCTATTTTAAATTGTTTCAATTTAAATCAACTCTTGATTTTAAACTGAACAGATCTTGAATTGTAAAGCTTTCCATTGGTTCTAATTCTTCTGCGGGTAACTGATACATTTAGCTTTAAGCATTTTAATTGTTTTTGTCTTTACAGTCATGCTCATAGATAATTGTAATTTGAATAACAAAAATAGTACTTTTCATCATTTATGTTATCGTTAAATGCAATTTTTTTTTTGAAAATATGAAAAAATGTAGTTCTTTCTCTGAAATAAATTGGTTGTCTAAACGTATTAATGTATTTATTAAATAACTAACATATGGAATTTAGATATCATATGGAATTTAGATAACAAATGCGCGAATATAAAGTTACGTATGTTATTAAAGGGACTGTAAGTGTTATATCAAGTGACCCTCTATGCAAAGCTGGCAATTCCCGATTTACAACGGTATCCTTATAAACATTGTCTGGTCAAAAACATTTTTCGAGTTAAAAAAACGATTTTAGTTTCCCCACTTTTGATCAGAGTATGGTTTCAAGGGTACCGTTGTAAATCGGGCCATCTTTGCATGGATGGTTATTGTTCACTTTAAATTTCGCTCACAGTCTCTTTAGGCACTGCAGTAATGGTCCTCCTTGCAAGGATCTTTATTGAAGTTTAAGGGACCGAATCTAAACTTTTGAGTCGCGGCTGAATTATGGTTGGTTCCACTGAAAACTGTATTCAGTTTTTCAAGATTTAAGCCGGTGCTCTATTGACATCGGTTTTTGGCAGATTTAAACCGCGGCTCAAATTCCTGAAATTCGGACACTGATCAACTTGCAAAGAATAACTCTTCATCGTCAATAAATGAAAAAACATTTCAACTTGTTCCCGGACAACCATACTCAGGTCTTACAGGCTCGAGCTCAGTCAGATCAATCGGGAGGTCTCTAAACGTAGTAGTTGAACTACGTAGAATAAGTTGAACCAGTTCCTCAGCTACCCCCTGGTCGGCGCACTATAGAAATAGTTAAACTAAGGCTAAATGATCCGATTACAGGGTTACCCGCAAAAGATGAATGACGACCTAAAGCTCTTAAAACCTAACAATTTCAGGGTTGAATTTGGACTCTTTTCTGAGATACTAAGGACTAGGCTTTAAGGGCGCTTCGCGCCCATCTTCTTTTTCTTATAATTGTTGGTTTAACTGTGAGCATCTTTTCTATTAATTCAATTTATTTTAATTTGCGGATTTCATAATAATTTTAATTTTAGATAATGTAAAATAAAACTATTCTAAAATTACGTATTTCAAGTCTGAATGGCCATAAACCTACCATGGGGCCACGTGAGGTACCACACAAAATTTTGGCCTGATCGGTTCAGCCGTTTTGATATTTATTGGATACAAACAGACAGATAGACAAGCTGAATTTAAATATAGAAGTTGGCAAAGAAATGAACCAGATTTGCAGCTGTGGGAACCGTGAATTTTTCAAAAAAGGATTAAATAAATTCTTTAAAATCGTCTCTTAAGTCTCATCCTTTGTGATTATCCCTGTACTTAGCACTATTTATTAAATCTGATTTAAACATTCACGTATTTTGGTTTTAGATGCAGCAATCTGAAGGGGTTTCAATTTTATTAGATTTTTAATAATTATTCTGCTAAATTGTTTATTTACAATGTTGAAGTAATTCTAAAATAGCTCACAACTTTTTTGTGACTAAATCTACAGATCTTAATCCTAAAATTTTGAAATGCCCTTGAAATAGATGCAGAAATATGTGTAACATCTTGACAAAAAAAAATACTATTTTGTTTACCCTTTTATGGCATTTTTTCAAGCCTCGGTAGCACCCAAACCATTAAAACTACCTGTCTAATTTTTTTTAAATAACTGGCTTTAAAAGATTAAACAATGAACATGCATTTAAACCCTATACCTAAATCCATACCCCCCGGTATACAGACGGTTATATCAATACAGTGAAGACGACTATCGATTTCAATTTTGAAGAGTATTGATACACATAAACATAGAAGTCAAGAGAAGCTAGCAATAAATAAACTTTTCTTTGATTATATGTAAACTTGTAATTGGGTAAAGGCTTATAAACAATCAAAACTTCAATAAAAAGTCGTCTTCATTGTATTGATATAATCGCCTACCACTAAAGATTAAGACCCCCAGCCTTAATAGGGTTATTAACTGATTTCAACATTTGCTTACCCAAGAACTTCTTACCGGGCAAGAAAGCCTTTATAATCTAAACACGAAAGCAACGCAAGTTAATTTTTTTCATATTAGTTCTCTAATAGAAGAAAAAGATTCATTTCAATTTCTTAAAAAACTTTGACAATCTTTTCTATAATAAAGCTAGCTCATATACGTATGTTTGCTATAGCTTGCCAAACGGCTGGACCGAATTGGCAGAATATTTTTGAGGTACATGCGTGGTAACATGTGCTAAAAAATGATTTTTTCTTAAATTTTTCTTTTCCCCTAAGTGTTTTTGAATTCCACGGGCAACGCCGAAACTACATAAGAAAAGGAATAATACAGTTTCTATATCGTTAAAGATCTTAAATTGAGTTTATTTGAATCACTCTAATCTGTTATCTGATACAAGAAGAAGAACACAAGGATGTGTATGGTCCAGGTGGGGGA